TCAGTGCACCTGGTCTATGCTGTCCTTGACCGACACGTAGTCCACAGGGGGCAAGTTGTGAAGCTTAAGGAAACCCTTAATTGATGATTGATGAGGGCTGATTCGCACTTGGCAGCACTCGTCGTCATTAAGGCTCTATTGCTTCGCTCCTCATCATCAGGAAGAAGAGGGTGCCAGCTTGGCAGCGAGGCAAAACAGTCCGGTGGGTTGTTGCTTCTCCACACTCTGCATGTGCCACTTTCAGGGTCTCCTCACACATGGGTGGGTTCAGCATTTTTTGTCATTGGGTGCAAACGGCAGGATATACGGGCCTCCAAGTAGCTGCTTGGCCCGGCGTATTTCTATAAATCTGCCAGCCCACTGATTACGCCAGTCATCTGCTGCTGGGTGTGCAGGTCTCTCATGGAGTAGTTGCATGTAGTCAGCCAAGTCTGTTCTCCTACTCACTGCATAGGCCATTTTAAAGTCATTGGGTGCTGGGCAGATTACGTGGCCTTTTACGGTGAGGAGCTGCTGCCAGGCCCCTAATCTGAACAGTAAACGTTGCGTATGGTCGACCGCCGCCTCTTGGCGTGCAGAAAGTCCAGGTGTCTAATGGGTCCCTGTTGCGGCCATGTGCTGTCTCTCGCCACACTCTGCCATGTGCACTTTCAGTGTCATTCAACACTCTGGTGTGTTCCATTTTTTTGTTCATAGGGTGCTGGCAGATTAACGGGCCTCCAGTGCTGCATGCCAGGCAGCATCGTATCTGCATGGGCCCCTATACCGCTCCTCATGCTGCTTGCCAGGTCCAGAGTCTCTCATGGGTCCTGTACCGGCTCTCCATTGCTGCTGTCTCCATCGCCTCACTCTGGCCATGTGCCACTTTCAGGTCTCCTCACACACTGCTGTGTGTGTTCCCATTTTTTGTCATAGGGTGCTGGCAGATTACGGGCCTCCCTTGGCTGCTGCCAGGCCCGTAATCTGCCATGGGCCACCGTGTACCGTATACTCATCATGCTGCTGCAAGGTCCAGTAGTGTCTCAGGGGTCCCACTGTGGCCTCCCATTATGTGAGTGTCTGGGATCGGCACCACTCTCTGCCATGTGCCACTTGTGGTTCCTCACACTGCTGGGTGTGGTTCATTTTTTCTGTTATCGGGTGGCTGGCAGATTACCGGGCCTCCAATTGCTGCTGCTCAGGCCGTCCTAATCTCTTCCATGGCCCCTGTTTACCGCCCTCCTTCATGCTGCTGCACAGGTCCAGGTGTCTCATTCCCTGTATCGGCCTCTTTCTTGCTGTCTCCATCGTGCCACTTTCATGGTCTCCTCACTCTGCTGGTTGGTTCCATTTTTTGTCATAGGGTGCTTGGCAGATTATCGGGTTTTCCATTTGCTGCTGCAGGCCCTTGTGTTATTTCTGTCCATGGCCCCTCTATACCGTTTAACCATCCTCATGGATCTGTCATGCCTAGGTCCAGAGTCGCTTTGGGTCCCTGTACCTCCCATTGCTGCTGGTCTCCATCGCCACACTCTGTGGCCATGTTCCACTTTGTTGAGGTCTCTCAGCAAACACTGCTGGTTGCTGTTAATAAATTTTGTCATGGGTGCTGCAGATTGGGCTGTACCTCCCATTGGACTGCTAGCCTGGCAGAGTTTCATGTCCATCTGCCATGTGGCCCCTGTAATCGCTTAAGGATTCCTCATGCTGCTTACCATGGTCCAGCCAGGTCTCATGGGTCCCAAGCTAGAGTGGTACGGCCATGGTGCATTGGCTGCTGTCCTAGCATCGCCACACTCTGTGCATGTGCCACTTTCAGGTTCAGGTACTCACACTGCTGGTGGGTTCCATTTTTTGTCATAGGGTGCTGGCAGATTACGGGCCTCCCATTTGCTGCTGCCAGGCCGCCGTTTTAATCTGCTTGGGCCCCAGTACCGCCTCCTCATGCTGCTGCCAGGTCCAGAGTTCTCATGGGTCCCTGTACGGCCTCCATTGCTGCTGTCTCAATCGCCACACTCTGCCATTGTGCCACTTTCAGGGTCTCCTCACACTGATGGTGTGTTTCCATTTTGTCATAGGGTGCTGGCAGATTACGGGCCTCCATCCATAGCTGCTGCACAGGCCCCTAATCTGTCTCATGGCCCCTGTACCGCCCTCCTCATGCTGCTGGGCCATAGTGCCTGCCAACTTGTATTGTGCAGTTTCAGGTTCCCTATGCTGGTGTGTTCATGGGTCCGGGTGCTGGAGCTTTACGGGCCTCCCATTGCTGCTGCTGTCTCCATCGCCTCTCATGCTGGCTGAGTTAGGTCATGTGTACCTGTACGGTTTCTGCCTGTCCTCAACTGCCTCAACTCACATGAATGACTTGCTGTAGTGTTGAGATTCATGTGGTTGTCCATTTTTTCATCATAGGGTGCTTGGCAGATACGGGCCTCCTATTGCTGCTGCCAGGCCCGTAATCTGCCATGGGCCCCCCCCTGTACCGCCTCCTCCTCATGCTGCTGCCAGGTCCAGAGTGTCTCATGGGTCCCTGTACGGCCTCCCATTGCTGCTGTTCCATCGCCACACTCTGCCATGTGCCACTTTCAGGTCTCCTCACACCTGCTGGTGGGTTCCATTTTGTTGTCAATAGGGTGCTGAGCGTTACGGGCTCCCATTGTGCTGGCTCGTGCAACAGGCCCTAATCTGCCTGGGGCCCCGTTGTACGCCTCATTCATGCTGCTGCCAGGGTCTACTGGGGTCTTATGGGTCCCTGTTATCGGCCTCCCCCTGTGCTGCTGTCTCCATCGCGACACTCCTGCCATGTGCCAATTTCAGGTTCCTCACACACTGCTGGTGTGGTCCATTTTTTGTCATAGGGGCTTTGGCAGAGATGTACGGGCCTCCATAGCTGCTGCCAGGCCCTAATGCTGCCATGGGCCCCTTGTACCGCCTCCTCATGCTGCTGCCAGGTCCATGAGTCTGGTCTCATGGGTCACTGTACTAGGCCTCGCCATTGCTGCTGTCTCCCATCGCACACTTGCATGTGCCACTTTCTGGGACTCCTCACACACAATGCTGGTGGTGTGTACCATTTTTTGGTCATAGGGTGCTGGCAGATTACGGGCCTCCTTATAGCTGCTGCCAGGCCCCTAATCTGAACTTAAAAAATTGATGGGGCCCTGTACCGCATTCCTATGCCTGGAGAATGTACGCCAGGTCCACAGTGTACGAGAATCATGGGTCCTGTACGGCCTACCCATGTGCAGTGATTCCATTTGTGCTTTCAGGTCTCCTCACACACTGCTGGTGTGTTCCATTTTTTGTCATAGGGTGCTGGCAGATTACGGGCCTCCATAGCTGCTGCCGGCAGTACGTAATCTGCATGGGCCCCTGTACGCCTCCTCATGCTGCTGCCAGTCCCAGTGTCTCATGGGTCCCTGTACGGCCTCCATTGCTGCTGTCTCCATCGGACACTCTGCCATGTGCCACTTTCAGGTCTCCTCACACTGCTGGTGGGTTCCATTTTTGTCTTAGGGTGCTGGGCAGTTACGGGCCTCCCATTGCTGCTGCCAGGCCCGTACATGCTGTAATGGGCCCCTCTTCATATGCTGCAGGGGTGTGTCTATTGGGCCTCCTCATGCTGCCAGGTCCATCAGCCCTGCCAGTGCTTTCAGGTATCCACAACCTGTGGTGGGTTCCATTTTGTCATAGGGTTGCTGGCAGATTACGGGCCTCCCATTGCTGCTGCCAGGCCCCCCTCATGCATGGGCCCCGGTACCGCCTCTCATGCTGCTGCCAGGTCCAGAAGTGTCTCATGGTCCTGTACGGCCTCCCATTGCTGCTGTCTCCATCGCCACACTCTGCCATGTGCCACTTTCAGGTCTCCTCACACACTGCTGGTGTGTTCCATTTTTTGTCATAGGGTGCTGGCAGATTACGGGCCTCGCCTCCATTGCTGCTGCCAGGCCCCTAATCTGCCATGGGCCCCTGTACCGCCTCCTCATGCTGCTGCCCCAGAGTCTGTCATGGGTCCTGTACGGCCTCCCATTTGCTGCTGTCTCCATCGCCACACTCTGCCATGTTTGCCACTTTCATGTCTCCTCACACTGCTGGTGTGTTCCATTTTTTTGTCATAGGGTGCTGGCAGATTACGGGCCTCCCATTGCTGCTTCCAGGCCCCGTAATCTGCCATGGGCCTCTTGTACTGCCTCTTCATGCTGCTGCCAGGTCCAGAGTGTGTCATGGGTCCCTGTACGGCCTCCCACTTGCTGCTGCAGGAGGCTAGCAGGGTCGCAGCTCTGTCAGTGGAGGCAAACGGCCACGGAGTAGAGCACCAGCTCCTTACTGCAGCATACCACCACGGCCAGTAGTGGTGCCATGGTGTGCACGGAGGAAGTAGCAGTCAGCAGTGAGGAGTAGCGGGGGCAAAGTTTCCTACTCGGCGGTGTGGCAATTTTTCGTCAAGGCCGCCTTACGAGGAAACAGTAAACGTGAGCTGTATGTCGACTATGTGGCCCTGAAAGTCAAGCGTGGCCAGGGGGCCCATGTTGGGACTACAGCGTTGCGTCAGCATATGCAGCGTCGCCATTCGGTGGCCTGGGGAAAAACCGTGATAAAGATACGGGGCGGTTCTGCCTGCCCCAGCCAGGGTTCCATTTTGTCATAGGGTGCTGGCAGATTACGGGCCTCCCATTGCTGCTGCCAGGCCTTAATCTGCCATGGGTCCCTGTACCGCCTCCTCATGCTGCTTGCCAGGTCCACAGTGTCTCATGGGTCCCTGTGAACCGCCTCCCATTGCTGCTGTCTCCATCGCCACACTCTGCATGTGCCACTTTCAGGTCTCCTCACACACTGCTGGTGTGTTCCATTTTTTGTCATAGGGGTGCTGGCAGATTACGGGCCTCCATTGCTGCTGCCAGGGCCCGTAATCTGCCATGGGCCCCCAGTTACCGCCTCCTCATGCTGCTGCCAGGTCCACAGTGTCTCATGGGTCCCTGTACGGCCTCCCATTGCTGCTGTCTCCATCGCCACACTCTGCCATGTGCCACTTTCAGGTCTCCTCACACTGCTGGTGTGTTCCATTTTTTGTCATAGGGTGCTGGCAGATTACGGGCCTCCCATTGCTGCTGCCAGGCCCGTAATCTGCCATGGGCCCCTAGTACCGCCTCCTCATGCTGCTGCCAGGTCCACAGTCTCTCATGGGTCCTGTACGGCCTCCCATTGCTGCTGTCTCCATCGCCACACTCATGCCATGTGCACTTTCAGGTCTCCTCACACTGCTGGTGTGTTTCCATTTTTTGTCATAGGGTGCTGGCAGATTACGGGCCTCCCATAGCTGCTGCCAGGCCCCTTATCTGCCATGGGCCCCTGTACCGCCTCCTCATTGCTGCTGCCAGGTCCAGAGTCTCTCATGGGTCCCTGTACAGCCTCCCATTGCTGCTGTCTCCATCGCCACACTCTGCCATTTGCCACTTTCAGGTCTCCTCACACACTGCTGGTGTGTTCCATTTTTTGTCATAGGGTGCTGGCAGATTACGGGCCTCCCATTGCTGCTGCCAGGCCCGTAATCTGCCATGGGCCCCCGTACCGACTCCTCATGCTGCTGCCAGGCCCGGTAATCTGTCATGGGCCCCTGTTGTCGCTTGTTGGCATATTCCACTCGTTCAGATTCTCCTTCTCCTGCTACTCCTCTTCACGGATTCCGTCAGCAGTCTTTCTTGGAATCCGTTTCCAAGAGACAACAGTTTGCGAGCACGCACCCGACGGTGCAGAAGCTGAACGTCCTCCTGTCCAAGTTGCTGCTGCCAGGCTCGTAATCTGTCATGCGCCCCTGTACCGCCTCCTCATGCTGCTGCCAGGTCCAGAGTGTGTCATGGGTCCTGTACGGCCTCCCATTGCTGCTGCCAGGCCCGTAATCTGCCATGGGCCCCCGTACCGACTCCTCATGCTGCTGCCAGGCCCGTAATCTGTCATGGGCCCCTGTACGCCTCCTCATGCTGCTGCCAGGTCCAGAGTGTGTCATGGGTCCCTGTACGGCCTCCCATTGCTGCTGTCTCCATCGCCACACTCTGCCATGTGCCACTTTCAGGTCTCCTCACACTGCTGGTGGTTTCCATTTTTGTCATAGGGTGCTGTATGGCCTCCCATTGCTGCTGCCTCCACCGCCACACTATGGCTCCACACTCTGGTTTTGGCCCCGTGACTGCCCAAATGAGTGAAGTGTGCGGTGATTCTAAGATCGACGGCACTCATCTGCATGTCATACTGACTGTCAGTATTATTTCTCTTCCCCAGCAGACTCCAAGGGCATTTAAATTAAAGGTACAGTGTTCTGCACTAATATAAAGGCTTTCTGAAGCCTAGAAACACCCTTTTATAAGTTAAATTCGCAGCGAATATATTCGACTCGAATCGAAATTTTTCCACGAATTCGCCGAATCAGTCAAATCGAATTTTTGAATACTTCGCTCATCTCTAATCAAGACAGTTGGTTTTCTAATCCCTGTGACAAGGCTGTGCATACTGCCAAGAAAACGCTGCAGTGTTGTCACCTTGTGAAATAGGTAATTTTAAATGAAAACATAGTTTCTGTTTGGGAAAAATGGTTTAACCATAAAAGAAAGTTGACCATTTAAAGCACCCCTGTCAAAATAATAGTTTGTCCCAACCCCAGTAGCTGTCCATTTAACTGGAAAGCTTGACCTGCATGAAAGGGTGAGTAAAAAACAAATAAATCCATGTGGAATTTCCTTAGATTGTAAACTGCGTGAGGGCAGGGACTGATGTGAATGTACAATACATATATGTAAAGTGCTCCATAAAATTAATGGTGCTATATAAGTACCTGAAATAAATTACAAGGAAATCCAATACTGAATCCTATCATTACAGGTAATAATGCCATACAGACACTTGAAATATATTTTTTTACTATACTGGTGTTCATTTTTTTTTTTTACCTGATATGTTGACCCTGGAACAGGTAAGAAGCTACAGTGATCTTAACTAGTGCTGATCAAATCAGAAGAATCATCTGTTTGTAAATTATTCATGCATTTATTCAAGATCAGGAAAATGAAAATGTCACAATTTATAGATTTTCATGATTTGTAAATTAATTTGTCATTACTAATTTTAACACCCACATTTCTTTCTTGTCCAGTAAAAAAGCTATTTGCATAATTTGTTAAAATTACATGGCAAAGAGTGTTAATTCAAACTCAAACCTTTCTAGAGTAACATCTTGCGGATCCATCAATACTAGCAGCAGAAGTGTTAAAATATGTATTTTCAAAACTTACCCAGGGCATCAGTCTTCCTCCCTTTTTACATTCTTTCCTTAGTATAAAAAAAGTCAATGGGTCAATAAATACTGACAGAGAAAATGACAGCTCAGGAAGATGGCATATAGCAAATATATTACTCAAGGAAAAGATAACTGTCATTGTACTTAACAGCCTCTGCACAACAGTTTCAGCTGAACAGATTTATTTGTATTTTTACTTGTGGTTTTTACATAACACTTAATTAATGGAACAAAACATTGGCACAATAGTTTAACATTAGGAATATGATCACAGATAAGTTGGTATTGGGAAGAGAATCTAATTTATCTTGTTTTTTTATGTGTTTGCTTTACTACACAACTGCTATTTCCAATACAAATGTTTTAGTATGCATTATCTGTGTAGTGCTACCCCAGAGGATCCCCCGAATGTTTTGGGTCCTCCTACCTTTCCCAGAGATGACCATCCTGTAACATGACTTAAATAACACCAACACTCATGGAAGTGTGAAAAGGACCTGAGCATAATAAAGAATACCATTATAGAAAATTACAGACATGAGCAGACTAGAATTAAGACTTTGCAGCAATACCATGTCCTACCTAGACCACTGGCCAGGGGAGAAAAAGTTACAGACCTGGACACCTTTGTTCATTTGCAGGGGAGCACTTTTTTTCACACAGGAGAATTGTGATCCACTGAGTAACAGTTCCTTCTTGGCAAAATTCCTTGGCAGCAATAGCAAGTATAACACTTCAAGGTAACCAGCAGGTCTCTCACCACTTGTAAAGATTGTGTAGTGTCCTTTGGAAAAGTACCAACTTTGGAACAGCATGTATTTCCCTGTATAGCAACATTCAAACAGCGAAAGGAAGGTTTTGTACTCTGTAGCAATAAGGCTCAATTGTAGAACATATGTGCTGACAGGGACCAAACAATTTAATGTGGGAAGTGTAGTACCCGCCAGCAGCCCCTTTAAGCCACTTGGCATGATGTTAGAACCCCACTGCAGACTTTTCATCCCTCCATGGTGATGGAAAGCACAGGCAGAGGGGATGGTGAATTATTCAAATATTATTCAAAGGGACCCCAAGCAGACTTGCTGTGAGCCTGCTAGTGTGATTTGCAGTGGGCATTGTTGTATAGGCTGCTGCCAGAGACTGTTTGCAGCAGCTGGGAAAACAATGGGCCATTTAAAAGTTCAAATCTTGTTGTTGTTACTTGGGTCCAAATATAGCATGTGTCTTCTTTGGAAAGCAAACAGCAGGACCTAAATAATCCAGTAGCTTCAGTTGTGTGTTCTTCAGGGATCCTTCTGGAGCTGAATGCAGCTAGGACTGCATCTGGAAATGTCAGCCAGGTTAAAATGGACCCAGTCATACATGCCAGATGGTGTGAAGAATAGAAAGGTGAATCAGAATTAGGTAGACATCCCTGGAGACAGATGAGCCAAGAATCATATTCGCCAACCAGTGACAGCATTAGATCCACAGATCACTGCATGGTTAGAGCAACAGCTCACTGGATGGTTATTATAGATATGTGAATAGTTCCTGCACATCTCACACCTACAATTGAGCTCAAAAGTTTGCATACTATGGCAGAAATCGAGAAATGTTGGCATTTATATTAAAAATATAACTGATCATGCGAAATAAGGATAGTGATCATATGAAGCCATTTATTATCACATAGTTGTTTGACTCCTTTATAAATCATGATGATAACAGGAATCACCCCAAATGGCCCTGATCAAAAGTTTTAACACCTTGGAATGTCTGGCCTTGGTACAGACACACAAGGTGACACACACAGGTTAAAATGGCAATTAAAGGTTAATTTCCCACACCTGTGGCTTGTTAAATTACAATTACTGTCTGTGTATAGTCAATGAGTTTGTTAGCTGTTCCGAGCAGGCTAGATACTGAGCCATGGGGAGCAGGAAGAACTGTCAAAAGACCTTTGTAACAAGGTAGTAGAACTTTATAAAGATGGAAAAGGATGGAAAAAGATATCCAAAGCCTTGAATATGCCAGTCAGTACTGTTCAATCACTTTTTAAGAAGTGGAAACTTTGGGGATACCTACTTGATACCTACATGAGGAGAGAGTGAATCTGGAAGAGCAATCCCATTATGATCAAACAAGATGCAAAATGAATAAAGGCCTGCCAAGAGTTTGCCAGGGCCCATGCTGAAAAAGAAGAAGACTAATGGGACTCTGTGCTCTGGAGTGATGAGACCAAGATAAATGTTTTTGGAACTGATGACTTCAAAATTGTATGGCATTGCAGAGGTGAGGCGTACAAAGAAAAATGCATGGTGCCTACAGTGAAATATGGTGGTGGCAGTGTCTTTCTGTGGGGCTGCATGAGTGCTGCTGGTGTCGGGGAGCTGAATTTCATTGATGGTATCATGAATTCACAGATGTACTGCTCTATATTGAAAAAGAGGATGCTACCATCACTCCAAGCCCTTGGCCATCGTACTCTTTTCCCAACATGACAATGATCCAAAACACACATCTAAGGCCACTGTTGTATTTCTGAAGAACAACAGGGTGAAAGTGATTCAGTGGCCAAGCATGTCTTCTGATCTGAACCCAATCGAACACCTATGGGGAATTCTAAAGAGACAAGCTGAGCATCACTCTCCATCCAGAATCAGGCTCTAAAAGAGGTCGTTCTTGAAGAATGGAAACAGATAGATGTTGCAATATGTCTTCATTCCATGCATAGAAGACTTGGTGCTGTCCTTACAAATTATGGAGGTCATACAAAATACTAGATGTAGTAGTTTATGTTGTGGGGTGTATTCATTTTTGCATCAACTAATTTGAGTAAAACTGAGGATTTTGTAATCTAAGTTATATGATTAACCTTACTTTCATGTAATGAGCTAAACAAATGTTCTATAAAACTCAATTTTGTCATATTTGGAAATTATTCTTGTGTTCATTGCGATATTGATTAAAATCTTACTTTTCAAAAGGGGTGTACTCATTTATGCTGAGCACTGTATGTAACTATACACTTGTACTTTTATTTTACTATACGCTTGTAACATATTCACTTTAAGGCTAATGTACACTATACAAACATTTAGATATTTATTAATTAGGATAAGGTTCAGGCTCATGGCTACCATTGGTTGTAGGCAAATTCTGCAAATCTGAGATTGCCCGAGAGATTTTTTAAAACCATAATTCACCAAATGGCCTTTGAAATATGGCCAGCAGGCTTATAAAGGGTTTTTGGTTAAGCCAGCATCTTCTCTTTAAAAAGGTGGGGGGCACAAAGCACATACGTACAGGGGTACATTTACTATAACTGGTTCACGTGTTTTGGATTCCATGCTGTTGTGTTGCCTATATATCACATGTATATGGTGATGCCATGTAATACAGTGTACCTTTACTTAATACTGTTTTCTAGCAGTCCTGGATGCTGCCTTCTTGATAAGTAAAGAAGAAAACTGATGCACAGTGAATCTGGTGCATCATTACCTGGTAACCAATCAGCTTCTAGGTTTTATTGTCAAAGCTTAACGGAACAAGTAGGAGTTAGAAGCTGATTGGTTACCATGCACAGCTGCACCTGGTTCTGTGCATACCAGTTTTAGTAAACCTCCCCCATAGTGTCAGTCAGTTGGACGCTGTAATGAAGAAAGCATAGGGAAAGCTGCAAAACTGCACATGGAGAGACTAGGGACAGTTAGGAAATTGTACTTTAAATCTGATGGTTAGCTCTTTGGGCAATCAAACCCTGAAGATCTAATGAGAGCTCAGAACAGTTGCTGCCATTCAAAGACACAGCCTTTATGTAGAGATAGTGGTGAGCTGCAGCCAGGAGGGGTGACCTTTTTCAAGAGAAAATACCCTATGTTGGGGGGACTTCTTGCCCACAGGACTGTGAGAGTCAGGACAGCTACATAGGGAAGAGACTGAGAAAACTGAGGTAACTAGCGAGTCCACAACGGGGGGC